CCGGCCCGAGCCGGTTTCTGTGCTCGGCGCCGCGGGGGCGTGGGCGGGAGGACGATGCGCCAGGCTCCGGCGCCGCTGCTTCCCAGCAGCCCCCGGCCGACCCCTGCCATCCAACGCCCAAAAGTTGTCCCCCTGCTGCTGCCCATCACTTTGCAAAGTCGGCGGCTCCCCTGCTCCGTGCACGCCCCCGGCTGCCCCGGTGGCGGTGACTCGGGGTCCGCGGATTTGCCCTGGGATGCCGCGGCTGGATGATGAGCAGTTCGTGGCCTCTGGAATAAAGGCGCTGAGATGAGGGTAACGTTAAGACTGTAAACATCTTAACATCTTCTTACATCTTGGGACTCTTGGAGGTAGATACGGCTTCCTCAAGGGAAGAGAAGAGGGCTTTTTCATGTTTCTTTCCTCCTCCCTTTTTCTTATCCTTTCCCTTTTCTTTTGTGGATAGAAAAAGAACAAAAGCGCGTGCCATTAATTAGGCAGAAGAGACTTAAAGTTGAAAAATACCACGACTCGAGAGGTCCGGGGTTTTCGCCCAGTGTAAATGAAAAATGCATTTTTTTTTAAAAGCTCCCCTCCAAATTTTTCAGGCTACCGAACAGACGCACCAGCTCAGAATCTCACCGTAGAAAAGTCCTTTTAGTGTATCTGGAATGTTTGTTGATGGGAATTGGGTTACTTTGCAAAGCCAGTTCGTGAAAGCCAGCAAACAAAGACCCAGCTGGGCTTAAGGCTATTCCTCCCTTCTCAGCCTTCTTTGGTCCTCGGTGGTAGGCTGGTGGCATAATGGGCTAGAAGAGGACTAGATACATCCCGAGTTCAGTATTAAGAAGCAGGTACTCTAGTCATGCATGATGGTTCACGCCTGTAATTCCAGCAGTCAGGAACTGAAGCAGGAGGATCACCGCAAGCTCTAGGACAGAATAGGCTACATAGTGAACCCCTTTTCTCAAAAAGAAAGGTGGGGAAGTCCTCTGGACGGTGCTTTCCATTCCATCTTAACTTTTAAACAAATCACTGTCTCCTGCCCCTGGGAAACAACACATTTACGTGAGCTGTATCAAACTACCGACAGCATAGAGGTAAAAGGATTCAGAGTTAAGGAGCCAATGAAAGAAGTTTAAACATTTGGAAGGATAAAACTGAAGATACACTATAACCCAGTTGCAGCTCTTACCATGGTAAAACGTGTAGTGTTGATCTCTGCCCCCAAATGCTTTGAAACTATTAGGAAAATAGGTTTGTTTTTGATAAACTTGAGTATTCTATTCCATTTTCCTACCCCGCCCCCCATCTAGTAATAAGGTGCATCTCATCTTCTAGAAAGCTAACAAGGTTCCATTAATGAAAGAAAAGGGGACTGTGGCCTTCTCATCCCTTTTATTCTTTCCCCACGATTCTTTGAAGTTTATTTTCTGTTTTGGGTACTCAGGTTAATTTTTCTTGGGAGTTTCATGCTTGAGCTGTTTGAAGTAGAAAGGGTTGAGAGGAATTGAATAGTGAAGTGCACATTCTTTGTATAGTGCAGCATGAAACCTTTATCATCTAAGACGGGTAGAGGTGTTGTTTTGTTTTTGCTTACAAAAGATTGTCTGTTTCCCTGCTTTACCTCTGGAGTTTGGGAATCCACCCAGACTACGTTTCATATTAGTTTGCTGCTAAAACTCTGCAATGATTTTGTACATAAAACTTCCAAGTGTGAGATCAGGTATGGTGGTGCACACCTACAACCCCAGCACTTGGAAAGCAGAGGCAGGAGAATTTCTGTGAGTTTGAGGCTAGCCTGGTTTACATAGCAGATTCCAGGATAGCCAGGACTACATAAAGAGACCTTGTCTCCCCCCAAAAAAAACCACCAACCAACAACAACCAAAAAAAAAAAAAAAAAAAAAAAACCCAAGTATATTAGTATGTGATGCTAGGCTTCTGTGGACTTTATTTTTTTTCCTTAGAAGCCAGGTGGTAGGCAATAGTTCTCAGCTTGTTGTTACCTTCTTCTACTCAGTAGAGGTTAGTAAGGCAGATGTGGTTAAGATTCTGAGGAAAGAAAGGGAGGGTTTTTTTTTTTTGTGTGTGTGTTGTGATGGTGTTTTTGTAAGGCTGGGTATAACAGCTCTTCATGGGCTCGCAGACTTAGCTGCTGAGCAGAAATGGACTTCCTCCCGGCTTTACAGTTTATCATCCTGGGAACCACTGACTTTGGTAGGCCCAGGGGATGCACTGTAAATGAAGCTTTTGAAGACTGTAACTCAGGGTGTGAGCTTAGCACATTCCAGTCTCCCCCTCATTATGTCTCACAATAATACTTTAGTCAAAGCATAGGAAGCGTACAGTCTTGTTAAGTGGAAACACAGGGACTTGCTCTTTTCTCACAGAACTTCAGCGTTTCCTGATGAACAGACTTTAATTGGAGAGGGAAGCTGGCTGGAATTTCACCTTTACTTATTTTACTTACCTTTTGCCAGAATCTGTACATCTTCAAGATTGGGAATGTAACTCAACTTGGCTGGCCCCTGCAAGACTCTGAGTCCTGTCTCTAGTCCTGGGGGATGGGAGAGCAAGCAAACGGATCTGTCTTTGAACTTACAGTTTTATTTACAGGTTCATTTTGAAAGGTTATTTGCTTCTCCTAATTTCAGAATTTAGTAACTTGTAAGTCTGAAATTTGATGCCCCCCATTCCTTTTAATTCTTCATCTAGAAGTGCTTTTTGGTTTATTTCTTTAAGAAATACCACTTAGCACACCAATAGATTAGAGTACTCGCTGTAATTAGTAGATGGCAGAAAGAAATTGAAAAATTAGAGAGGTCGTAGACACTATGGCACACACCTGTGATCACAGCGCTAGAGAAACAGAGGCAGGAGGGTCAGGAGTTGGATGATAGCCTTGGCTACATGAGATGCTGTCTCATCCCTTGCCCTGGCTTAAAATTAGATTGATATAGTCAGAAGGGCAGAAAAAAATAACTCTGAGATTAGTAGAAATGTAGGTTCTACGAATTAAATATGATATATAAACTCTTTTTTTTTTGCAATAGCTAAGAGGCAATTTGGTGAGGATGAATTTTTTTTTATAACTCTATGATATGACCTGTTTACTGTGTGTGCCTGAGAACCTGGATTTGATTCTCCACACCCAGGTAAAAAGCTCTGTGTGGCAATGGTGCTTGTCACCCATAGTTAACCAGAGTGGAAACACGAAGCCCCTGCTTGCAGGTCGTATAATCTAGGCAGTTGGTGAGCTTAGGTTCAGTAAGAGAACCTGTCTCAGAGAGAGAGAGAGAGAGAGAGAGAGAGAGAGAGAGAGAGAGAGAGAAAAGAAAGCAGTTGAGGAAGACACCTGACACATGCAAGCACACATGTGAGCACATACGCACACATAATCCCCAATAAGAAATGGAAATGAAAGGACAGTGAGCGGGGCCTTAGGAGAAGGGAAGCGACACTGGAATAGGTCGTAGGAATATTTTTCTAATAAGACAATGCTCTCCTTCAGAGAGACGGACTTAGAGGAACCCATTGCTAATCTTTGTGATGTGTTCTTGAAAACCGTGTCTGAAAGATGAGAATATCCTACCTTTCCACGTTGTAGCCAGTGTATCCTGCATTTACAACTTACAGATGATATTTCTGAACTGCCTGTATTTAAATGTAAATTAAATGTAAACTACGAATGAAGAGAGGGGCCCTGTCTTTGGAGAAAGTGATGGAAAAGTATTTCTGAACAGTTTTTTGTTGCTGTACTTTCTTGACAAGGCCTTGTGGTACACTTTTCTCATGGCTGCTTCTGGGATCAGCTAGCATTTTCCACCTGAGTTCTTTGGACCTGGCTTTGTAGGCAACCTGGGAAGACTGTCTTTCAACATTTCAGTTATCTTTTTCTTGTCCTTCAAGTGATGTGCTCAGCTAAATTTACTTTAAGTACTTTTTATCATAAAAACTGACAATAATTGAAAAATATCAAATTCCCAATGATGTACATTCATAGAACTGGAAATATATAAATTTCAAATATTTCCTATGTCCCATTTAGTACAGGAACTCACACCAGGGCTTCCCACGTGGTAGGAAAGCATTTTACCAAGCTGTGTCCTTAGCCCTAGTCTAGAATGTTACCAAGCACTTGGTGTCAATTTTCCAAATATTTTGTACTGTTTTGTGGAGAGGTGAAAGCGCCCCTTTCCTCACAGATAGTGCATGAACTGGTGCCCAAAACTGCTGCTCCTTCTGTTAGCTCAGTAGGCCCCTTTATTCTGTTACAATCCTACAGATTCCTGCAAAAAAAAAATAACAATAATAATAATGCTTCAAACAACTGTCACCCTTTATTTAATAGATTACTGTATCTTGTCAAGCTCCTTTTAAGTCCAGAATCACCTTTTTCCTGCAGGTCTGAAACTTCAGCTTAGAACTTTTCCTTGGATGGGCCCACCTTGAGAACAGTGGCACATTCTCGTGATTCTCAGTAGGAACAGATATTTCAGAGGCTATGGAGATGGCTCAGTTGGTAAAGTGCTTGCCCCGTATGAGGCCTGATGGGTGGCACCTACGTCAAAGAGATTCCCTGTGTAAGGTGCATGCATGTACTCCCAGCTCCGGAGACAGGTGGATCCTTGAGACTGGCCCCCAAACAGCCTCGCTGAATCAGAAAGCCCTTGGTGAGAGACCTGGCAGTGTCAGCAAAACAGGGTGGGCAATTCTGAGAAACACTGGAGAGTGACCTCTGGCCCTGATGGACATGACCGTGTACATGCCCACATGTATAGGTAATTCATTGTTCGAGGGTAATGTGGCGTGTGTACAAGGTGCTTTAAAGTACACGTAACATTTAATTGAGCTAACAGGTAACCTGAATTATTTGAGTGTTAAAAAAAAAATCAAGTTTAAAAAAAAATCCGGGGTTGGGGATTTAGCTCAGCGGTAGAGCGCTTGCCTAGCAAGCTCAAGGCCCTGGGTCCAGTCCTCAACTCCCGGGGTGGGTGGGGTGAGGGTTGGGTGAGAGGGGGCAGAATCCAAGTTTTGTTTTGTTTGGTGGTGTGTGCACACTTGAGTGTGTGCACGCGCGCTCTCTCACATGCCACAACATGCATGTGGGGATCAGAGGATAACTTTTTGGAGTTAGTTCTCTCTGTCTTATGGATTCTGAGGATTGAACTCTGTCCACCAGGCCCAGTGGTAAGTGCTTTTACCTGATGAGCTCTCTGGCTGACCTGAAAAATCCATTTGAATCATACTAAATTACCACTTCTTTGCTTTCCCTACTACCTGCAAGCAGCCTATCCTTTGGCTTGTTGCTTTAATTACCAGCCAATAAACTGTTCACGTAGCATTTGTTCTTGTCTGCCAGTCAGCACACATTGACAGATGTGAGGAGTTACTTGCCTTTTATACAAAATAGTGTAAAATCGGTCTTTTGTAAAATTCCCTAGAGCACTTATTATTTTTAAATATGCCCTTCCCCTTTATGATGGTCTTGACCATATAGCCCAGATTGTTCTCCATGAGTTTTGGGATTATAGGTGTGCACCATCACATCTAGCTGAAGTATCTGTGGGGGGTTGTTTGTTTGTTTGTTTATTTGTTTTTTGCACATATGCTTTTCTGACAGAAGTGAGTTATATATGTGTACTGTTTTCTTTGCTGATTTAAAAAATATCTTTGTGTTAGGTTGTATGTGTTACTACAGGCCTTTAATCCCAGTCCTTGGGAAGCGCAGGCAGGTGAATTTCTGTGAGTTCAAGGATAGTTAGGGTTACATAGTGAGACCTTACCTCAAAAAAATATTTGTTTTGTTTTGTTTGTTTGTTTTTGTATGTGCTTAGATGTGTAAATGTAAGAGCACTCATGTAGTGGTGCATGTGTGGCAGTCAGGACAACTTTGGATGCCAGTTTCTGCCTTCCATCTTGTTTAAGACAGTCTTTTGCTTCCTGCTGTGTATGCCAGGCTCGCTGGCCCTCAGGCTTCCAGGGGTTCTCCTCTATATGCCTCCCATCTCCCTGTAGGTGTGCTGGGGTTACAGATGTGTGCTATCATCTTTGCTTTATGTGGGTGCTGGAAACTGAACTAGATCTGCCGAGCCATTTCCCCAGTCGTAATTGTTGTGCTTGTCATTGCTATGCTATTATGCCGGTAAATGCAATCCGTGCTCATCTTTTGGGAGGGAGGAACAGTGTTGGGGATTGAACACAGGGCTTTGTGCATGCTAAGTATACATGACCACTGTAGTGTGCTCTAAGTCATATTCATTATTTTTAGTGTCTGTATAATATTCCATTATGTGTTCATACCACACTATTTAGCAAAACCCCTCTTGGTAATTTTTTAGGTTTTCAGGTTTGTTTGTTTTTTTTTAATTGTTATAAATTACCTATGCTAATATTTCAGTTATATGCCATATGCACTTGTATACTTCTAGAATAAATTATGAATGGATGTATGCTGGACCAAATTATGTGTGCATTTCAGGGCTTTTGGTATAAAGAGCCATTAAAAATTACTTATTTTTATTTTATGTGTCTGGGTGGTTTGCCTATGTGTACCTATGTGTACCATGTGCCTGCAGACTCTGCAGAAACCAGAAGAAGGTGTTGAATCCCCTGGAACTGGAGTTACAAATGGTTGTGAGGCACCTGCAGGTGCTGGGAATTGAACTGAGGTCCCCTGGAAGAACAGCATGTGCTTTTAATCACTGGGCCATCTCTCTGGCCCCATCAGTAGCCTTTTTTTTTTTTTTTTCTTTTTAAAGTACCAACTAGTTTACATTCTTATCCAAAGTATTTCAAAATGCTGAAAATAATCTTCCCCTGTAATCCGTCCCTACTTTGTTCTATCATGGTTATTTTTGTACATCTGATTGGCAAATGTATTATGTTTGTTTTTTTCATCTGCGTTTTTAAAGTGAAGCTAAACATCATGTCACATGTTTATTGGCCTTTTGTATTTATTTTGTTCTTTGAAATGTTTTCTGTTACTCTTTTTAAAATATTTTTTATTTTATGTGTATGAGTGATTGCCTGCATGTATGTCTGTGTGCCTTCATGCCTTCATGTGCATGCCTGGTGCCTTCAGAAGAGGGCACTGGATCCCATGGGACTGGGTTATGGATTGTTGTGAACCACCATGTGGGTGCTGGGAACCAAACCTGAGTCTTTTGCAAGAGCAACAAGTGCTCTTAAGCCCTGACCCATCTCTTTAGCCCTATTATTCTTTATATTCATTTATTAAATTAATTTTATGTAGATTATATATAAGCATGCTTTTTCTTTTAATTGTTCTGTTTTAGCATAGCATTTCTCAAGACCTGACTTATAGGACACTTGTAACTATGGGTAATCTTTAGGAGCTAGTCCTTAGACAGTGGTCCTTAGGAAATCTGTCTCTCTTCAGAGGATTTACGTAGCTCAGTGGAAGTGGTAATTTGAAATCATTCCTAGGCCTACTCTGGCTTGTCTACACAGCCAGGCTGTGTGGTGATCATTTATTGGTCACGTGTTTGAGATTCCTTAAGTTTTTGTGCTATCTAAAATAATGTAACATTGGCAAAACTTGCTTGTGATACTTTTAGAACCATCTGTTTTTAGTTCAGTGTTAGCTGATAGAGGTAGCCTTGTCAGCTGTAATTGAATGCCCCAAACACCTAATTTTTTTTTTTTTTGGTTTTTCAAGATTTCAAGATAGGATTTCTCTGTGTAGCTTTGCACCTTTCCTGGAACTGGCTTTGGAGACCAGGCTGACCTCGAACTCACAGAGATCCTCCTGCCTCTGCCTCCCGAGTGCTGGGATTAAAGGCGTGCACCACCACCGCCCGGCCAAACACCTAATGTTTGATGCTACTTTTTTTCATATATTATCTCATAATTTACTCATAGATTCCCATTTGAGAAGTGAGGTTCAAATTATTTTCAGAAAAAAAAAATATGGTTAAGTGACAGTGTTTTTACAATGTTGAATTAGTAAGAGATCTGATCTCGTCCGAGACCTTTCACAGCTACTTTCTACTGAGTCAGTTAATGTAAAAGTGTACTGCTAATGACCAAAACACATATAATAAATTTGAAATTCTATAGTCCAGTTTACAACAAATATCATTTAAACAGTTTGGAGCAAAGGAAAAAGTATTCAGAATGGATCAATTATGTCTTGTGATGGAATTCTCCACCATGTGTTAGATATGCAACTTAGGATATAAAATTAGCCTTTAAATGTTATTTGAGAACTATTTTTAGTGAATAGTGAATAGTGAATATCATATGATAAAATAGAAAAACTATTACTTTGTGACTACCCCTGTATTTTCTCTATTAGATCTGTATGGTGGCTCATCATATTTTAATGTCAAGTCTTCAACATTTTGAGAAGTGATTAACTTTACCATTTTCAATACTTTTCAGATATTTCAACAAGGAAGAAATCACTCTCCTCCTAAGATGGAATCTGTGATTTGGGAATGTGGTTGATCAACTTGATATGCTGGCCAGATGTGCCCTATGTAATAAAATGAAAAGAAGATACAAGATGATGTCATTTTCCAATATTGTGAAACCAAAAACAAATGCCTTTTGTGAGACCAGGTTAACAAACCTCTGACAGTACAAGGAGTTTTTAACTGTTCGAAGAACCTAACAGATACAGAAGGGGTGCTTTCAAGCTGAGACCTGCAGGCACATCTTGAGTAAATCTGATCGTCCAAGTCTCATTCAGATCCAAGAAGAATGGCTATGAGTTGGATTGTCTTTTATCTTTGGCTCTTGACTGTGTTTGTGGGGCATATAGGTGGGCACAGTTTGTTTTCTTGTGAACCTATTACCTTGAGGATGTGCCAAGATTTGCCTTATAATACTACCTTCATGCCTAATCTTCTGAACCATTATGACCAACAGACAGCAGCTTTAGCAATGGAGGTAAGACTTGAGCTCCCATTTGACATTCCAGAAAATAACCTACAGTACCCTGATACACACCTAATGTGTTTGATGTAAACAAGAGGAAAATATTGCTGTTTTTAACTATAACTTACACATTTGGAAATTTATGTAGTTTGGCTCATACTATAATAGACTGAAGAATTTATATTTAGAGAAATTCTACTCTTGCATTTATTTTTAGACATATTTTTACAAAGAAATTTGAAACACTGAAACGTGATGATACCTCTTCAGAGATTACAACTTTCTTATTTAATAAATAACTTTATATAAATAGCATAGTATAATAATATTACATATAGTTCAGTAGCTGTCTTAGTTAGGGTTGTATTGCTGTGAAGGATCACCATGACCACGGCAACTCCTTTTTGGTTTTTCGAGACAGGGTTTCTCTGTGTAGTTTTGGTGCCTGTCCTGGATCTCACTCTGTAGACCAGGCTGGCTCTGCCTCTCAAGTGCTGGGATTAAAGGTGTGCACCACCATGGCAACTCTTACAAAGGAAAGCATTTACTCGGGGCTGGCTTACAATTTCAGAGGTTTAGTCCATTATCATGGTGAGAAGCATGGCAGTGTACAGGCAGACATGGTGCTGGAGAAGGAGCCGAGAGTTCTACATCGTGATCCGCAGGCAACAGGAAGTGAACTGTGTTCCATGCTGGACATAGCTTGAGCATATGAGACCTTAAAGCCACCCCTCCAACAAGGCCACACCTCCTAATAGTGTCATTCTATAGGCCAAGCATTCAAACACATGAGTCTCTGGGAGCCATACCTATTCAAACCACTACATTAGCTGAGTATGGAATATAATGTGATTTTTTTTTTTTTTAGACTGAATTCTTCAAGTTTTTGTTTGTTTGTTTGTTTGTTTTTTAATATCCAAGATGATTTCCTGGTAATGTCATGCTCACATCAATTTAGGAGTACCTTTCAAGCAATGAAAACTGTTTTGTTATATGAGTTCTGTTCTTGGTGGTTCAGAATTTTCTTTCTTTCTTTTTTTTTTTTTTTTTTATGTGTTTTGTTTTGTTTTTCCAAGACAGGGTTTCTCTGTGTAGCTTTGCGCCTTTCCTGGAACTGGCTTTGGATACCAGGCTGGCCTTGAACTCACAGAGATCCGCCTGGCTCTGCCTCCTGAGTGCTGGGATTAAAGGCGTGCGCCACCACCGCCCGGCCAGAATTTTATGAAAGTTTGTTGCCTTGCTTGAATTTTTGTTATGATAATTCTTCAGGTACTTTTTAATATATTTGCTTCAAAAACTGTGTCCAGTTAGTAGATATGGTTGTTCCTAGGTTTAAATGTGTCTGTAATGGTCTTAGATTTGAAAACAAAGATATATTTACTAGATAGAAATGGGGAAGCAGTAAACAGTCAGCTGAGGAATATGGGCTTTGGAGCTGGACAGCCCAGGGTGTTTGAACCCAGCAGTGTCTTTGTGGCAACTTGTGTGAACTTGGCCACCCTAGTTCCTTTGATTTTAGTAACATCAACAGCCAGGTGTGGTGGTAGTGTAAGCCCATCATCCCAGCACTTGGAAGGAAGAGGCAGGAGGATTAGGAATTCATGACAGTTCTCTTTTACAGGATGAGGTGGAGGCCAGCCTGAGCTATGTGTGACCCTGCTTCAAAAAACACAATAAAATAAAGCTAATAATAATTCCACAGTCTTTCATAGTACAGAATTAAAATATGCCTATATAGTACTTAGTACATAATAAACACTCTCTAAGTAATGGTTTTTGCTACTCATTTATTTAAGACAGTGTTTCACTATGTAGCCCTGGCGGGCCTGGAATTGACTATGTAGATCAGGCTGGCCTGAAGCTCAGTAGAGCTCCATCCGCCTCTGCCTTCTGAATTCTGAGATTAAAGTCATGCATCACTACACCCTTGATATCCATATTCTTACATTAACATGGTCATGTAATATAATTTGGACAATGTCTTATATTTTAATCAGTTTGACAATGCTTTCAGAGCCTGCATTGGAGTTCTTTGTTTTACAGCAAAATATATTCATTGCTTCAATTTGATGAAATTTCTAGAAAGATCATTATTCATAGATTTCAAAGTATGTTGGGCACGTTATAATTTTCTGAATTATTTGGTGATGCTATAGAAATTGAACAAAACATTTTCTGCTCATCCTATGACTATACAAAGTCTAACTAATACAATAACTATACAAAGTCTATCAGACTAGGACATATAAAAGGGGGTATTGTCTGCTGGCAGTAAGTTGGGTTCTGACATGATAGTTGTAGTAGTTGTTGCTGTATGCTGAAGATTGAATTAGAAATACCCCAATATCTTGTATCACTATAAAGTCAGAAAAATGCTCATACTTGCTAGGTGGTGGTGGCGCATGCCTTTAATTCCAGCACTGGGAGGCAGAGGCAGGCAGATCTCTGTGAGTTCAAGGCCAGCCTGGGTCACAGAGTGAGTTCCAGGAAAGGTGCCAAAGCTATACAGAGAAACCCTGTCTCAAAAAAGGGAAAAAAAAAAAAAAAAAAAAGATGCTCATACTTAGGTTCCGCTTTTGACTCTGTCATGCAGTAGGTGTAGGACCTTGGACAAATTGTCTAACATTCCTACATCTTGTTGTCTTATTTAAGGCAACAATAATGAAAAATCTCAGATGGGCTTGTTAGGATTAAATGAAAGATTTGTAAGTAGCTGCATAATGCATGGTATACAGATTTTAATTCTATTCCGGATTCTGTTTCTAAATTGTCTAGAGAAGAGTCTCTAGGAAGATGATGGACTTGGCCCCAGATGAGCTTGTATCATTCTTCACATGTTCATGGGACATTCAAAGTGATAACATGGCAGACTTTCTCTACCTTCTCAAATATGCCCACATAATCTATATAGTTTATTGTCAGTGAGTTTGGAATTTCTGACACCCTAGGAAGAGTCCATAAGTGGGAAGTAGTTTCTAAGAGAAGACTTCAGAGATTTGACAAAACCCTGTGGAAGTTGCTTACTGCCCGGTTGTCATAGCAGGACAGAGATGCCACTGACACTCTCCTGGGATTGAAAATAGTTTGGTGGGTTTGGTGGGATAGTGATGCTGATCCCAGTTCCAAAGCTACCACCTCCCTGTGAACACTATGATACTTCTTTTTCTCTTTCTTTTTGGTTGTTCAAAGTGATTTGAAGTGTTCAGCATTATGTGTTTGCATTTTATAAACAATGTAATTAGCAAAATAATGAAGCAACATAGCTTTCCTTTCTCTAGGATCTTACGTTGCTTCTGCTTAAGTATACCTTTGCTTGTTCAAATTCTGATGTTCTTGATCTATTGTCAAGTTAAAAAAAAAAGTGCAGAAAGGTGTGTGGCTTAGCTAAAACATGTATGATGCTGTGCAGGCTGGTTTTGTGCCCACTTGACACAAGCCATAGTCATCTGAGAAGAGTAAACCTCAATTAAGAAAATGCCTCCTTAAGATCAGGCTGTATATAAGCCTATAGAGTATTCTCTTAATTAGTGATTGATGGGGGAGGGCCCAGCCCATTGTGGGTGGGGCCATCCCTGGGCTATGGTCCTGGGTTCTATAAGAAAGCAGCTGAGCAAGCCATGAGGAACAAGCCAGGAAGCAGCACCCCTCCCTGGCCTCTGCATCTGCTCCTGCCCCAGGTTCCTGCCCTGTTTGGGATCCTGTCCTGACTTCCTCCAGTGATGAACAATGATGTGGAAGTGTAAGTCAAATAAACCCTTTCCTCCCCAAGTTGCTTTGGTCATGCTGTTTCATCACAGCAGTAGTAGTCCTAATTAGGACAGAGAAATATAAGAACCTTCTTCTAAATTAAAAACAAAAACAAAAAACGTGCTTTCTCTTCCCGTGTCTTTGGCGTTGGCGGAAGATGACAAAAGGAATATCATCCTTTGGAAAGTGTCCCCATAAGATACACACATTGTGCCCCTGCTGTGGCTCCAAGCCCTGCCACCTTCAGAAGTCCACCTGTGACAAATGTGGCTATACCATCAAGCGATAGAGAAAGTGTAGCTAGAGTGCCAAGGCTAAGCTCCGAAACACTGCCAGGACTGGGTGGATCAGCACCTAAAATTGTCTGTGGAAGATTCAGACATGGATTCCGTGAGGGAAGTACCCAGTTCATCTTGAAGATTTCAGTCAGTCATTAAAGTTCTGGTTTCAGAAAAAAAAACCAACAACACTCTATATACAGAGAGTGGAGAATTATTTGCAGTTTTTTCTAATTTTTAGGAACAAAAGTAACAGCTTTTGAAATTTTGAATGTACCCCAATGTAACAATACTGGTCCATATTTATGGATAGGCATTTTAGAAAATAAAGTCTCTTTTTGAGTTCATGGGTTTTTGTTCTTGTTTGTTTGTTTGTTTGTTTGTTTTCTGAGACAGTGTTTCTCTGTGTAGCCCTGGTTGTCCTGGAACTCTCTATAGACCAGGCTTGTCTCAAAATCACAGAGATCTGCCTGCTTCTGCCTCCCGAGTGCTGGGATTAAAGGCATGTGCCACCACTGCCTGGCTGAGTTCATGTTTTTAATCTCTAGAATACATTCATTGTCCACCATATTTACTTTCCTTATTATCTTTTGTTTAGTTTAGTGTTTATAAGATTTTTTTCTCTAAACAATGTAGTGAAATGATCTATTTTATTATTACATTGACCTATATCCCTAGCCCTGATAGGTATGGCTTTAGAAACCAGTTTTATGACTAGGGTAAGCCAAACAGAATTAAGAAGCTTTTAAATTAAAACAACTATACATGCAGGTAGTAGAGAATTATTTGCAGTTATTTCTGATCTTAGGAACAAAAATAATGGGTTTTAGACATTTTGAATTGATTTACTTATGATAAATTGCATTAAAGGACTCCCTTAAAATTCTTGCTTTAAATCAGATAATGGAGTAGAATTTGACTTATGAAGTATTGTTTTTTAAATATGTCATAATCCAGAACTCTCCACAATAGTGGAAATATTAAAAA